CAAGCACACCTTCTTTCCTCAAACCCCCCACCTGGCTTCCTCAGTTTCCCACAAGCTTCTGTAGGTGATGTTACCTTTCCCACTGTACAGATGAGGAAAAGGAGGCCCACTGAGGTGAAATGACTTCCTTAGTGTTGCAGTTAAGACCTAAGAGATGAGAAACCCTCACGTGGCCTCGTGTGGTGTTGACTCCTCAAAGCCACATAGACCACTAGATCTTAACCCACAAAGAACATACTTGTCCTCAGATAGGAGTACAGGACTTACTCAGTCTTGCAAAGTTCAAAGCATGCTGTGGATACATTTATTTGTGTATTTGAAGAGCAGCTATTCACAAGACTGAATGTTTCTAAAAAGTCTGAGCTGTTTTGTATATGTTATAAAACAGGATGGCAGTGGACTAGGCTGGAAGTGGCTGTGTTTGGATAGAATGCACCTTTTGAGAGCTGTGAGCTCCCTGTCTTTGCCCCTTCAGAGCCTTTTTGTAGACAAAGTGGATGAGATTTCTTCCAATTGACATTTGCCTACCATTCAGTCTCCTTATATTGTCCTGATCAATTCCAGAGGAGAGAGGACTTTTCTGGTCCCAGGGGTGATATTGGTGTGGTGGGGATAGATTTCTCCACGCCCCGGTTTTTCCTGAACTTGGAGTCCACTGACTGTTCTGTGAGGCTTGTCCTCAAAATTCACAGGGGCCTGAAAAGGGGGAGAAGCTGGTAAGGAGGGGACCAAGCCCCGTTTGGCCATGGGAAAAGGAGCAAGTTCTCAAGCACCACTGCTGCTCATTTACAACCCTGCAAAATAATTATCAGTCTCTTTTGTACGGCCAGAGAAAGTGAGGTTCAAAGAGGTCAGGTATCTTGCTCCAAGATGATGTGGCTGGCAGGGACTTGAACCCAGGTCTCTTGGACTCCACAGGTCTTGTCCCAGGATCCCTCTTTTCCACTTAGATCAGTGAGCCCCACACAGAGTTACAGCTCTAGAACTCTGCCTTTACTGAAACCTGGAATTCCCCCTGAGCCATTCATTCCCATAGCAGGTATTTGTTGAGTGCCCAGTAGCTCCTGGGGCGCGACGCAAACCAGCCATCATGGAGGTCATCACATGAGGGAAGGGGAAGATACTGCTTGAAGTCAGTGTGAAAAAAGGGGATGACAGAATTTATGCCCTAGGGGAGCATATAACCTGGGGGACAGCATAGTGTAAGAAAGAGCAGAAGGGAAGAGGCTGGTAGGAAAGGTCAGCAATGGAGGTGGCAGAGGTGCAGGAGCCAGAGAAGGGCCATGAGGAGGTGAGAATCACAGTAGCCAAGCCGAAGGCCTCACTGCTGGCTCTCCCTCAGAGTTAGCCCTGCCAGAGCCAGGTGGGAAATGTGAAAGGAAAACTTAGCCTGCCTTCCTGGAATGGGAAACCAGAGATTAAAACAAAGAGGGAAGAGAGTTGGAATGAGGCAGGAAGCAAAGATCCAGCCTATGACTTAGAGCTGTTCCAAAAGAAAAAAGTCAGAACAGTGGAACGGAAGCAGTAAGCCTAGCCATAAAGAGAGCTTGCTTGAGATGCAGTGCTGATCAGAAAGCCTGGCTGTCCTCCAAGAAAAATCAGTTTTCAAAGGCTCACAATTAGATGTATCCACATCAAAAAGTTTTAAAATATAGAGATATTCTACAGGCATTTAGGGTGAAAAATCAGGGTATCACTCCACCCCAATCTATCGTTCTTGCCTCAGATGACTTTCTGCAACTCCAAACAAGACAATGAAGAAGAATCTCCTGAGTCTTGAGAGGAAAAGGTTGAATCTAAGGAGCCAATCTGTGTTTCATGTCTGAAGGCAAGGGAAAGACAATTCTCCAATAGGTTAATGCTGAGAAAATACCCCTCATGTATCCTCAAGAAATTCCTCTAAGACTTAGTCCTTCCAGTATAGAACACAATCAAAATTTGGATCTTGCAAAAGGACTTACAAGTCACCATCCTCGGGAGTCTAGTGGAATCACATGTTGTCATGGGCAGAGCCAGGCGTACTAGCCACCCTCAGCACTTCCCTTCTGCTTCTCTCCTCTCCAGGAAGGGGGAAGCTGTTTCTCCTGTCACATCCTTTACCTTAAGATTCATAGCCTATTACCAGAGCCGCACAGCACACACATACAGTCCCGCCTCCTCTCTTCATTACCTTATAAAACATCAAGTTTGTTCAAACCCTGGGGCATGAATCTTACTGGTTTTAGCCAAACATGGTCATTTCACTCCCTTTGTTAGTGATCGAGGGGTGAACGAATGACCAAGTTCTGGCAATGAGAAAAGAGACAACCTATTGGAGAGTGAAGTTTTCGGGAAGGATTTTTCTGTCTGATAAAATGTGCCAGCACAGAGGCCTGCTCCTTCTTGAGGCCTTGGGCATGAGGGGCTGTGTTTGAAGCTGCCATGGGTGACCAGGAGACAATAAACCTGAGGATGAGAAACCAACACACAGATGCTACAGGGGAAGACAGAAGGAGCCTGGGCCCTGGATGACGTCGGCGAACGGGTACAACTATACTACAGGTACCCGTCTCTAGACTTCTTCTAAGTGAGGTCACTAGATGCTACGTATTTTACTTCCTAAGCCACAGAGTGCTCTGTTGCTTGATGTTCTCAGCTGATGAATTTTGTTTGCCTGAAGATGTCTTAAAATTATAACTGGTCTTTGTCTGTCCCATCATCTACTCCATGGCTACATTTTTTTAAATGTTCAAGATGCTGGATCAGGAGAATAGTTAAACTACAATTCTCCCTCTCCCACCCCCTAAAAAGGCAGAGCTGGGTTTAAACCTAGGTCTGTCTGACTGAAGCAAAGCTGCATATAGTAATGATTTTCTTCATTACTTGAGGAATGATTTTTAAAAGCATTTTAAAATGCATATTGGATGCCCTAAGCCCTGAGTGTATCTAATTATGAAAGACTAGTAGCAGGTATCCATGTGATTCCATTTACAGCTGTGAAGGTCCTGTGTTAACTTGTCCTAAAAACCATTTCAGAAAAGCATATCAGTAGAAATGATGTGATCAAAGCCATATAAATGGTATGTCCTGGCTCCATCGCTTACTAGCTTACTAGCTGTGCAACCTGGGACCAGTTGCTTAACTTGTTTGTACCTCAGTTTCCTCATTTGTACAACTGAAACCAAAACCAAACCAGTTGCCATCAAGCTGATTCATACTCATGGTGACCCCATGGGTTTTAAAGTAGAACTCTGCTCCATAGGATTTTCAAGGCTGTGACCTTTCAGAAGTAGATCACTAGGCCTTTCTCCCCAAGTGCCTCTGAGTGGGTTCAAACCACCAACCCTTCTGTTAAGCACTTAGCCATTTGTGCCACCGAGGGACTCTTCATTTGTTCAAAGGGGATGATAAATAACAGCATCTACGGCACCCAGCTGTTAAGAGTAGATGAATGAGTATATAAGCACAGAGAGTACAGTCAACATTGTAGTGTGAAGAGTTAAATGAGTATGTGTGTAAGTGAGTGGGTGTGTGTGTGTGTGTGTGGGAGGGGTATGTGATTGGGGCAGGGGCGTGGAGGATGGGAAGAGGAACCCCGAAGAAGGCAAACCAATCAGAGATTACCCCAGGAGAGGGCTGGCTTTAACCTAAGCTACAATGTTTCACTTTTCTTGTTGCTTATTTGTTTTTGTTTCACTTTTTTTTTATTGTACTTTAAATGAAGGTTTACAGAACAAATAGTTTCTCATTAAACAGTTAGTACACATATTGTTTTATGACAATGTCAGCACTGTCCCTTCTCGACCTTGGGTTCCCCTCCTGCCTTCTAGTCCTTGTCCCTGGACTGTTGTGCCCCATTAGTCTCGTTTTGTTTCAGGGGGCTGCCTAATCTTTGGCTGAAGGGTGAACCTCAGGAGTGACTTCATTACTGAGCTAAAAGGGTGGCCGGGGGCCATACTCTCAGGGTTTCTCCAGTCTGTCAGGCCAGTAAGTCTGGTCTTTTCTTGTGAGTTAGAATTTTGTTCTACATTTTTCTCCAGCTCTGTCCGGGACCTTCTATTGTGATCCCTGTCAGAGCAGTCAGTGGTGGTAGCCAGGCACCGTCTAGTTGTACTGGACTCAGTCTGGTGGAGGCCGTGGTAGTTGTGGTCCATTAGTCCTTTGGACTAATCTTTCCCGTGTATTTTGTTTTCTTCATTCTCCCTTTCTCCTGAAGGGGGGAGACCAGTGGGGTATCTTAGATGGCTGCTCACAGGCTTTCAATTGTTTCACATTTTTAAAAAGAGAACATATTCCCTTTTTTTGTGGGTTCTAAAACTACTTCGATAAAAGAAGAAAGAAAAAATAGTAAAGTACCCCAGAATATTGCAGTGATTGTCTCTGAGAGGTGGGATTCTGAAAAGTTTTTTATTTCTTTTTCAGACATTTCTGTAGTTTTCAAATTTTCCTCATTGCATGTGTATTAGCTTTAAAATAGGGGGGAAAATGTATCGAAAGGTAGATATACTCTTGTATAAACTATGTGGTCACAGGCACATGTGAATGACATGCACAGAGGTTTTGGGAGGAGCTCGGCAAGCACAGCCCTAGGCAGGCAACCCAGGGTGGGTGGCTTGGTCCTCCTGGGGCTCAGAGGGTCTGGAGTTGTTGATACTGAGTCCCCAAACCCAGCAGGCCAGCCTTCACCCAGGCAGAGTCCTGCCCACAGCCCGGGCCGCTCACCCGCCTGCTGGCATGGGAGCTAGGCAGCAGCATGAAACCTCTGTATCCCCTTCCTTTCCTGTCTAGAACCTGTCCTCTCTGAGGGCTAAATGGACACTGGTGGTCGCCGTGCTTAGCGCAACATCTGACATCGCAACACACGAGGGGGTTATCTTCTTCCAATGCCATTCCTCTCTCACCGAAATTCAGACGGGGGAAAGGCATGCAGGGGCTCTAAGTGGCCCAGTGTGTAGCCCAGAGCTGTGGTCAGCTGCCACTAGATTGCGCCCTCAAGGTTGTCTGCCCCCGTCTTTCCGCAGGCCCCGGCGGGCAGAACCTGTGTGCTCAGGGCTGCAGGCCCAGATCCTCCAGTGCTACCGCCAGAACCTGCAGGAGGTGCTCCTGTGCTCTGACCTGGTCAAGGCCTACCAGCGCTGCGTCAGCGCCGCCCACAAGGTAAGGTCTGGCCGCCCTCCCTAGGACTTCCTGGGGATGCGGGGAGGCTCAGAGATCCAGCTGCCCTGCCCTTTTCTGTCAAATCAGCACTCCAACCCGGAGGTGTCCGACTTTTACACGGTGAGAGTTCTTATGTCCCGGGCCTCCTCAGACTCCCTGGTTCACATGTTCTGTCTGACGTTCCCATGAGGGCATGTGTACAGCTGGGGTAGGAAAAGGGAGCCCCTGGAGAGCTTAACCTAACTTGGTAGGGGCACCACCTTCAAGGGTCCACCTACCAGTTGAGGACATAAGTGTGTCTGCCGACTGAGGTATACTGGGGTACACAGTGGAGGGGGGCCTGGATTCCAGGGTAGGGGTGTTCTGGAAAGGGAGACGGCAGCCCAGTGAGGTGGAGGAGAGCATTCCGGTTGGAGGAGGCAGAGAGGTGGGAGCATGTGGCCCATCAGGTAGGGTAAGGGACCCTGCCTGTGTCCCCTGCCCCTTCTAGCCCCTCTGTGAACCACATGGCATGCCAAGGGACCACCCATCACACTGCTATCTCTGCTGCCCAGAGCCTGCCTTTGGGGACACAACCAGGAGGAGTGAAGTATGTCCCTTAACAGCCAGGCAGACCAGTTGCAGCTCAGCCCTAGATGATAGCCAAAGGCTCTGCCTCCCTCCCAGAAAATGAAGCCTGGACTGCAGCAGAGGCCTCATCACCCATCCTGGAGCACAGAGCACTGTTTGACTGATTCCAAGTTTAACATGAAGACGTTGCCAGTGGTTCCTAAAGAATTCTCCACAGATGAGGCTGGGGAAATGGTCACGTCCAGCAAGTGGCAGCTTCTTCAATGCCGTCCATAGTGTTTGCCGAGGCTTTTGTCTTCTACTTGTTATAGATTGAATTGTCTCCAAAAAATATGTGTTGTAAATGCTAACTCTATACCTGTGGTTATAATCCCATTTGGGAATGGCATGGCTTTGTTATGTTAATGAGGCAGGATTAGTATCTTGAGTCAATCTCTTTTGAGATATAAAAGAGATTAAACAAGCGAGCAGAAGAGAGATGGAGTAAGATAGATGCCAAGACACGTGGAGATCTCCAAGGAACCAGGAAGCAGAGGCTGAAGAGACAAGGACATTTCTCCAGAGCTGACACAGACAGCAAGCCTTCCCCGAGAGCCGGTACCCTGAATTTGGACTTTTAGCCTCCTAAAATGTGAGAAAGTAAATTTCTGTTTGTTAAAGCCACTCACTTGGGGTATTTCTGTTATACCAGCCCTAGATAACTAAGAATTCGGTACCAAGAAGGGGAAGTGCTGCTGTAACAGATACCTAAAAATGTAGAAGTGGTTTTGGAATGGGGTAATGGGTACAAGCTGGAAGAGTTTTAAGGTGCCTGATAGTAAAAGCCTAGATTGCCTTGAGGAGACCGTTGGTAGAGTTATGGATGTCAGAGTAATTCTGGTGAGGGCTCAGAAGGAAGTGAGGAGGGCTGTAGAGAAAGTCTCTGGCATCTTAGAGAGTACGTATGGCACCAGCAAAAGAATGTTGCTAGAAAAGTGGACATTAAATGTGCTTCTAGTGAGGCTTTAAAAGAAAATGATGAACATGTGATTGAACAGTGGAGGAAGGGCAGTGCTTTTTATGCAGTGGCAAAGAACTTGTCTGAATTATGTTCATATGTTTGGTGGAAGGTAAAACTTACAATTGATGAACTTGGATATCTGTCTGATGAGATTTCTAAGCAAGATCTTAAAGGAGCTGCATGGTTTTTTCTGGCTGCTTATAGTAAAATGTGAGAGGAAAGAGACGGACTTAAAAATGAACTGTGCAAAATGAAAACAAAACTTAAAGATTTGGAAAAATCTGTTGTACGAACTAAGGATACATGTCCCAGAATTTTCACTAAGGACATGGCTACCCAATCTTTTGTTAAAGAGATAAAGCCTGTGACTGATGGATCTAACCAACTACCACAGCAGAAAACCTATCAGCTTAGACTGAAGGGGACAGAGAAAGAATGAAAGGAAAGAACAGTGTCTGCCTCTTGGAATTCTACAGGCAGAAAACAGGCCAAAGGAGCTACATCTTTTGTCCTCCAAGAAAAGAAAAGGACCATCCCTGGAGCAGCTCAGAGATCAGGAGAACTGTTGGAAGGAGCACGGGAAGCAGGGCCTTCTTGGTTTCAAAGGATGGGGCTACAGAATCATGGATCTCAAAGGGTGGGGCCACAGCCTCCTAGGTTTCTGTCTTAGGTTCTCTAGAGAAGCAAAACCAGTAAAACATGTAAATATATAGAGAGATTTATATCAAGGAAATGCCTCATGTGGTTGTAGGGGCTGGAATGTCCCAAGTCCGTGGATCAGGATAGAGGCTTCTCCTGATTCACATTGCCACAGGGGCTGGCGAACCCAAAATCTGCAGGTCAGAGAGCAGGACTCTTGCTCACAGGCTGTGAAGATCAACAAATTTCAAGACTGACAGGCAAGACCACAAGGCTTCTCCTGATTCACGTAGCTGCAGGGGCTGGTGAACCCAAGATCGGCAGGTCGGAGAGCAGGGCTCTTGCTCACAGGCTGTGAAGATAGACGAATCCCAAGGTTGGCAAGCAAGACCATAGGTAAGCTGCTAGCTCAAGTCCTAAGAACCAGAAGTCAGACAAACACGAGCCAGCTGCAGGATCCAGAGCAGGCAAAAGCCAGAACGTCCGCTTATATTTGGATGCAAGCCACACGCCCAAGGAAATTCCCTTTCAACTGATTGGCTACTCACAGCAGATCCCATCATGGGAGTGATCGCATATCATGACTCAACAGGGAAGTGATCACAACATTATACAACTGCCAAAACACTGAGAATCATAGCCCAGCCAAGTTGACACAGAATCTTAACCATCATGGTTTCAGAGAGACAGATCTCCACCACCTTGATTCCAGAGTGTGGGGCTGCCATTCATGAATGCCAGGGGTATGGATCCACTGCCCAAAGCTGAGGGGGCAGGGCTTCCATGCCCAAGGGACAGAAGAACAGGGCCAGCTGTGGCCAAAGGGGTGGGGTCACGACTCAGTTGGACTAGGAGAATGGAGCCACCCAAAGCCGAGGGAGCAGAGTTGCTGTCCCAGTGGGCCTACAAGGTGGAGCTGAAGACCAGGACTGAGGGACCTCCACCCAGAATCTAGAGGGCGTGGCTAACACCCAGAATCTGGAGGGCAGGGCCATTGCCCAGATGGTCTCAGAGAACAAAGGATTATTTTCAAGCTTGAGAGCTAATATAAACTGTTCTGCTGGGTTTTGGACTTGTTTGGTGCCCATTATCCCTTCTTTTCCTCCACTTTCTCTCATTTGTAATGGAAATACCTGCCTTGTGCCTGTTCCACCATTGTACTTTGGAAACAGATAACTTGAAATCTAGATTTCACAAGTTCACAGATGAAGAGGAATTTTGCCCCAGGATGGAATGCACCTAAAGTCTCACCCATATTGGTTTAGATGATTCAGAACGTGAGATTTTGGATTTGGAGTTGATTTAAGACTTTTGGGATGATGTGATGGCGTGAATGTGTTTTGCATATGGTAAGGACACGAATTTTGAGAGGGCCAAAGGGTAGAATATTATGAATTGAATTGTGTCCCCTCAAAATAGATGTTCCAAATCATAACCCCTATGCCTGTGGTTTTGACACGGTGGCTGTAACAATGGACTCAAACACAGCAATGATTATGAGGATGGCACAGGACCAGGCACTGTTTCATTCTGTTGTACGTAGGGTCACTATGGGTCGGAACCATCTCAGCCACAACTGACAACAACAACACCACGCCTGTGGTTATAATCCCATTTGGGGCTGGTTTGCCTTTGTTATATTTATGACAGGATTAGTGTAGGGTGTGTCTTGAGCCAATCTCTTTCGAGATATAAAAGCAATTAAACGAGCAAGCAGAAGAGAGATGGGGTAAGATAGATGCCAAGACACATGGCTATCTCCATGGAACCAGGAGGCAGAAGCTGAAGAGATAAGGACCTTCCTCCAGAGCCGCTCCAGAGCCGACAGAGAGAGAAAGCCTTCCCCTAGAGCTGGCGCCCTCAATTTGGACTTCTAGCCTCCTAAACTGTGAAAAAAATAAATTTGTTTGTTAAAGCCACCCACTTGTGGTATTTCTGTGATAGCAACACTAGATAGCTAAGACACTACTTGTTGGCAAGGTTCTGGTTGATACAGCGGTCCTTTCCCTTCCCAGGTACATGAGTAAATCCACATCCCTGGCATATCACACTCCTAACTGTTACTGGAGGGAGGCCTGGGGTCCTGCAGGCCCAGGTTTCCCCAGCCCTCTCCAGCTCTGTACTCTGCCCTCCCTCTCTCTGTCCAGTCCTACGCATCCATGGCACTTGTCAGCCCCCCAGTACCACCCCCGCCCCAGCAGAGTATATCTTTAACAAACACATCTTACCAATATATCTTCATTGCACCGAGGCAAAAATGTGATTACGGAGGAAGACAGATTGCATTAAACTTCAGTATGTTCCCTGTAGCTCCATCAAGCCTGAGTGAGGCTCTGGGCCACTGCCAGGCCTGGCTCACTCTTCTGGCCCCCAGCCCCTGACATTATAAAAGAGTGAGTTGGAGACTGAGCAGCTGGCGGCAGAGACCAGCACCGCGCCCACTGTGCTGAGTCCGCAGCATTTGGGGATGGCATGTTCAACTTGACTCCTGCAGGGCCTTGGCTCAGACACTCGGATGGCACCCCCTGTGCACCTCGCAGCAAACACCGGAGGACACTCCCGCAGCCTCACCCTGCCTCCACCTCAGAAGGCTCCTGGTGGAAGCTGGGAATGGAGAATTAAAGGATCCCTGATAGCAGTTTGCTTCTAGATGTAGCCAGGTGGCAGGAAATCTTGTCTGTAGGAGCCAGGGGTTTGGTGACCAGCATAGAGGCCCCACTAGCCAGGAAGCTGGGGTGGGAGGCAGCGCCACGCCCCTCCGAGGCTCTTGCAGTCTGGCTCTCCACGTTCCTGCACGAGCTCCAACTCCCGTGTGGTGCCTCCCATGCTCAGAGACACGCGCCTGTGCAGACTTGGACATCCTCCTGGTGACCGGGGATGCAGCTTCCACAGACTTCTAACAACAGGGGCCCAATTCGTGTGGCTCTCACATACAGAGCGCTCTCTGAGCTGTTAAGGGGACAGAGGGGGCGCTGTAGGGGCTGGGCAGAGGCCAGTGCTCTATACGGGGTGTGTGGCAGCCACCGCCTGCAGGGGCAGGCAGGCACGGGGTGGGGGGGTGGCGGTGCTGGCTGTACCCCTACTGGTCTTCTCAGCCAGCCCCAGGGAAGTTAGGTGAATGGAGGGTTTTACATTAGCTAGTGCCAACTAATGATGCATTCTTCGAGGGCCTGCTCTCAGGGCACAGAGGTTAAGAGACACAGTCCCAGGTCTCAAGGACCCACAGGCTGGTGAGGAGGGAGGTTGACATGTAAACATTTACATTTCAATGTTGCTGTTGCTGTAGTGGAGCAATTTGCAGGGAGCCCTGATAGTGTGGGGCGCTAAGTCAGCCTCAGCGACGACAGTGTTGGAGCTGAGACCGGGGGCTATGGGGTTTCCAGGCAGAAGTGGACCGTGACTGAACTCTGACCTGTTCTCCTTTGTAGGGGTGAGGAGCAGCTGTCCTTCCTGGCCTGGCAGTGACTGAGCCCTGAAGAAGAGACTGAATATGGGACCACAGACCCTGGGGCCACAGCCATCACCCCTAGCCATGTCTGTGGGCTTAAGAACAGATGTGAGCTACTGTCTGAAACAAATAAAGCAGACATCTCTGTGTTCAGTCATTCCCTCAGCTGGCAGCAATGACCAACGCCTGCTTGGTGTCCAGCCCCATGTCGGGCAGCGTCGAGGCAGTGATAAGTAAGATAGGGCTGATTCCTTCAGAGCGCCCAGCCTGGCCAGGGGGATGGGCCTGGGAACCCTTAACTGCCACACCAGCAAAAAAAAAAAGAAAAAAAAAAACCCAGAAGCAAGTATAAGATGGCAGGAGGGGAAGTAAATCCTTTCTAGGAATGGGGCAGGAGGAGAACAGGCAGGCCTGCTGAATGCGGCTGGGTCTGCGCTCAGGGGCAAAACCCAGAGGAGGCTTGCTGGGCAGGCCAGGCCAGGCACTGGGGCTGAGGGAATCCCAGCTGTGGGGCAGTGGGGTTCTGCCAGGGTGGCCAGGAGCCAGCTTGGCGCCCTTGAAGAACAGTGTGGGCGAGGTGCAGGAGATGAGGCTGCAGGGGACCGAGCATGGGGGGCTGGATGCCAGGGAGAGGTGTTTGGGGTCCCTGGTGGAACTACTGAAGGGCTCTAACCAGGGAGCAACACTGTCAAACCTCTTAGCAGTGTTGCTCTGGCTCCCTGGTGGGAGGTAGATTGAAGCGGGGCCAGACTAAAAGCCATAGTATCGCAGGAATCTAAGTGACGTGCTTGGTGTATGAAGCTAGAGAGGGACTTAGGAGTTCAGGTTGGCAGGACCCTGAGTCCGATCAGGTGAGGGAAGGAACAAGAGGATTTCCACATTTCTGGCTAGGGTGGCTGGTGACTGTGTGATTGAAGTAAGGGATTCGCAGACTGAGAAGGGCAGATGATGAACCAGGTTTGGGCTGTGCTCACTTTAGTTGATGTCCAGACACTGACCTTCCAGCCCTTTGCCTTGGGAAGATGCTTTGCGCAGATGTGATGTGGCTGCACCCTGCACTGTGAAAAAGCAGCAGGAGATTGGGGCGGGAGCGCCTGATATCTAACCATTCTGCCTGGTGACCTTGAAGTTGGTGTTAAAATTCCTTTGGAGAGTTCCCAGGCCATCTGGAGCTAAGAACCCAGTCTTTACTTGGGCTTTGCAGCACAGCATCTCTTCCCTGTCCCAGAATTCCCACACCGCCACGGTGGAGGTTGGGGCTTGCAGGCGTCTCAGGGCCTGGGCAGTGCCAAACGGCATGTCAGCTGAGAGTGAGACAGCTTTAGGGAGGCCATCCCTAGAAATCGTGGGTCAGTTACCAAACTGCACAGGGAGACATCAGAACATGTGCAGAGATGAGTGCCCAGGGCAGGCACTGGGCATCCTCCCCCACTGGGGCCCGTTGGCATATGTGAGCCCCCAGTAGCCCAGGAAAGGCTGGTGTGCTGCAGGAGGTCAGCCAGGTGAGAGCACACCCCCCTAGCCCACTGGCCTTGCTCAGTGACGTCAGAGCCATCCTTTGGAACTGCCCAGGCCTATCTGAGTCCCTCAGAAGCCTCTGGCTGAACCTCATAAGGAGGAGTAACCTTCAGACACACATCCCTCCTACTTAGGAGTCAGCCCTGGAGTCCCGGGGGTGGGCAGTAGAGAGGCGCGTGGACCAGACACGCGCACAAGCCCTGTCACATCTTTTTGTGGGTCACAAACCCCCCCAAACCTCATGGTTTAAGATAACCCCTATTTTCTCCAGTTCATGATTTTGCTGAGTGGTGCTTATGGTCAGGGCTAGGTTGGTGGGTTGGCTGGCAGGTGGATGGTCCAGGACGGCCTCACTCACAGGTCTGGCAGGGCCAGGACATCTCCATTTGCTTCTGTGTAGCCTTTCCTCCTCCATCAGGCTAGCTCAGGCTCTGCTGTAATCTCGAGGTCCTGGCACAGCCAGAGGGAGAAAGCACCGCCAGCTCGTGCACAAACGCCTCTTAAGGCTCTGTTTGCCTCCTTTCTGCCCTGTTGTTCCTTGGTAGCTACAGTCTGATAAGATTGTGGTTAGGCCGAGGGGAGCGAAAACCTCTTTGGCCTTGAGCTCAACGAGGCCGCCTTCTGCTTTGGGAATGAGCCAGAACATGGCCTCATCTCCCAGCCATCCAAGCCTGCCCTTCCCCTCTCTCCCATAGTGCCCTTAGCTCCGGGCCTCCCCTCACCTCCCCACATCCACACATCTGTTTCGGCATCTTGCTGGATCTTCATAAACTTCCACTTGGTCCTGAGAACAGAATCCACCCCTCAGCCTGGCCAGTATTCAAGGCCCTGCCCCTCCAGTCTCAGTTCCCCACCTCCCCAACTCAGCTCCGGCTCCATACTCTGGCCCACCTTCTCTCTCCAGGCTACGGGCCCGCCCTTCTCCAGAGCCCCTGCTCTTCTTCAGCACTCTCCAAGGGCCCAGCCCTCCAGGACCCCCGCCCATCTCCCTCAGGCGGCTTCCACTCTGCAGTGCAGTGCGGTGCCCTGCATGTGACTTCCCAGGACAGCAGCCAGGAGGGCCTGGTGTCCTCCGAGCTCCCTCTGCAGCACTGGGGAGGGTGTCTTGGGTCCAGTGCACTGGTGAACTAAGTGCATGATGTGTTAATGACCAGTGTCAACTTCAGATTTTTTCTATACCCATTTACCCATTTGCATCTGACTGGAGCCAATACCTTCCCACGAAAGAAGTTCTAATAGTGGGGTCCAGGCTGGCCTTGGGAGGAGGGGGAAGCGTGGTGATACATAGAAAGAGCATGGACTTTGCAGGCCTGTGGACCTCGGTCAAAACCCTGACTCTGCCTCCTGTTAGCTTCCAGTAAGGACCAGCAAACCTCTTGGCCTCAACAGCCCTTTCCCATCAAGGAAGCAGATAAAGTGGTGCTTAGGATTTGTAGGGAATGTCTGTGGTGTGGACCTACTCAGCATCCACTTGTCTTCTTGGGAAAGTATTTTCTCAAGTTTTCTTTGAGGAACCACCCTTCCCCCCTCTCAGTGTGGACCCCACTCCCTCCTCCCACAACCTCCCTCACAAGAAGAGAGCATACCAGAGTAGAGCCAACCGGAGCACCTGGATCCAGCCGTATCTGAAGTTAACATGAGCTAGCAAACTCCCCCCTTTCAGTTAAGTCTTTGGGAATTGAGTCTCTGTCCTTTGCAACAAGAGTCCCAGTGATACAGCATGAGTGTGAGGAGTGAACATACTGCTGAGTAACCCCGACTGCCCTTCCCACCTTCCTCCCGGCCAAGCCAAGTTGGCAGATCTGACTCCTCCCCAGCTGAGGGGGGCCTGGTGGACACTGACTCCCCAAGTGTAGCAGCCCCAGTACCTGCCCAGGGCCTAGCTGCAGACTCTGCCACAAGGACCAGACGGGGAGACGCAGGAATGAGCATTTGTAACTGGGGAGGCGGGGACGCCTCAATGGTAGAACCCAAAGCATTGGTGTCCAGAAGATGCTTCGGGGAGGTAGGGAAGATTCCTGGGACCAGGCCAGCTGAGAAGTGAAGCAGTCAACACCTACAGCTAGCCTGGTGATCTCTTACCACCCCGAGAGGCCAGGCTTAGATGTCTGCTCCTCTGGGCCCAACACCCCCACACACCCTCAGGCAGACACAGGAACCCCCAGCCCCACAGTCCTTGCCTGAGAATGCGGGGGGCTAGGCCTGTGAGGCTCCTGTGGAAGAGCCTCTGCTTCCCAAACCTTAGCATCCAGGCAGGACCAGGGCATGTCCAACTGCTTCTATCAGATTTCTCTCTCCATAATTGGTTTCCAAGGGGTTTGGAGGAAGGGAATGAGCTACTGACTGCATGTGGTGTGTGGGCTTCTTGCCCTGTGCCTCGGCATCTGGGCGGGCATCTGTCTGCACACACAGGTCCATGTGTGTGCACTCATGGGTCTGTGTACACATGTCCGTGTTTGTGCATGTGTGTCTTGTCTGTGCATGGGCCTTGTGAACATGTCTGTGTGTCCATGTCTGCACACATATGCAGGTGTGCCTGCATGCATGAACATACATGTGCGTAGGTCTGTGTTTATAGGTCTCTGTACACATGTTGTAAAATGGCATGAGTAGTAGTAATGTCACAACCTGTCTAACTTCAGGGAGGATAATGCAAATCAAATAAGCCCAAGGCTGATCCCTATGAGGTGGAAGTCAGACACACCTCCACTCTCCAACCTTTTTACCATATCTGACACCAGCTGTCCCTCCCTCGGCACTCTCTACTTCTCTTCTGGGTTTGATAATCCATTGCAGTGGCCACACAGAACTCACAGACCATACTTGCAGTTAAGTGGTTTATTAAGGAAGTAACAGGGTACAACTCGGGATCAGGATCAAGAAGCATGCAGGCGAAGTCTCCCTTCTTCAGTGCAGGACAGCTCTCTTAGCTGCTCTTGGCCTTGCAGGACTCATCTCAGCCCCCAGAAGATGGGCTTCCTCTCAGACCCCTGAGGACAGGCCTCCTCTTGGTCCATCTGTCACCACTGCCTCTGCCAAGGGGCCCCTTCTGGACCTGTCACTGCTGGCTCTGCCACTGGGCCCCTTCTGGGCCTCTAGCTGTCTTCAGTGTTACAGCCCTTGACCTGTGTTACAGCTCTTTTAGGAGGTTCCCTGCCCCATCTCTCTCTGCTTATTCTCTCTTCTTTCTTCCTGCTGCTTCTCTTCCTGCTTCTTTCTGTCTGAAAAACCTCTGCGGAGTTGACTGCTTGTATATACAACCCCTTGTGAATTTCAAGGTATGGCCCCTCCCAGCAGGGGCCACAAACTGAACAAGCCCCTCTTGGTAGGCCACAGACACTTCATTTGCATAGTAGGCTATAGTCATCTCATTTTCATGGTCCATAGTCATTTCATTTGCATAGTATATTGACCAACCCCTTCAAGGTGCATACCAATCACTGGCAAAAAGTAGAGCCAGACAAAGCATTAAACCATCCTTGTTTACAGCTTACCTAGGAAATGTCAATCAACCTGGACAAAACTAACAAACCCTCTAGGGTAGAAAACTAGGGCAAAGGTCTTAGGGGAAAAATCTCTCAAGCTGTTTTTCCAAAGAACCAAGGCAAAAGCCATATAAAGGAACTCGTTTCACTACACATGTCCATTCCTGTCTCCATTTATGTGCACACGTGT